GCTTCTTAATTCCTGTTCTTTTATTATTCTCTCTTTAATAATTTTCGTAGATTCTTTCACAATCAATCCTTGCGTCTTCGTGGCTGTATTACCTAGCACGGGGTGAAATGATTAAAAAAATATGCCACCCAATCTTAGATACATCCACCGTCTTTCGCAACTGTGAATTGCCGTCTTGAATGAATTTTACCTTCTTTTCCATGGTTTCAATTAGCTATTCTTTGGGGAAACAGGTTTCCTTTCAATTACCTATACCTAGGGCCGGTTTCAGGCCTTTAAAACCATTGGAGTTAACAGAATGTAGAGGTCTCTTAATTACACATTTAAAAGACCCACTCTAACTAGAGGGGTCCCAAAACACTAAAATTTTTCAAATTAGTTCAAAATCAAATCTGAAAATAATCACATCTCTTTGTAGTATCATATACAAATGAGAATGACAACATTAATAGAGAGCTGAGAGTGAACAAAGGGCAATAGTCAGAAAAAGTGACAGAAAGTCACAAAAGTGGAACAGAGCAGGAAATGGAAGAAAATGGGAGTGAAAAGACGGACAAGAGTGAAGAAGAAAATGAAGACCAAGATCCCCGTCAAAAAAAAAAAAGAACGGAAAGAGGAAGAGCACAGTACGAGGGTAGTCAGAAATAGTAGTAGAAGAAACAAGGGTGTCCAGCCTCTTCAGTTCAGGGAGGTGTAGTATCATATGCAAATGAGAATAACAACATAAATAGAGAGCAAAGAGTAAACAAAGGGCCGTTTGCTAAACCTAACGTGGAAAACTGTGCTACGATTAATACTACTCAAAGTGAATTAAACAACATAACACTCATATCTTTCTTTTTTTTAGATTTATTAGGGGCCCAAGACTAGAGAGCCCTTAGGGGCCCTCTAGCCTTGGAGCCTCTGGAACGCAGCCAGTATTAGCCCACACGTAAATCCGACACCGTTTGGGACAAAAGCACTGAGCCAGCTGCATTAGGAATTCGAATCACTACCCTCCACACTTACCGCCACATTATGTTGAACCACCGGTTTCCGTATGATCACCGAAGTTAAGCAACGTCAAGTCTGGTCAGTACTTAAATTGGAATAGCAGGTGCAGTACATTTGTGTGGGTGGTATAACGTTTGGGGGTTCCTTAATTACGTATTTAAAAACTCACTCCAACTAGAGGGGCTTTAAATTGTTTAAAATTAGTTTAAAAGATCTCCATTAAATTTGAAAATAAACAAATCTGTTCTCATAACGTTTTTTTTTTTGTTTGTTTTATTAGGGGGCCAAGACGAGATGGCCATTGGGGTCATCAATAGTCTTGAGAACATGTTTATAAATCTATCACTGCAACCTGCAACCTGTTCATAAATCTATCACTGGGTATACCGAACCATTTGTTGCTGTCTGCAAGAACTCTAGATTTGCATATGTAAATTTCATATTTGAATTTACATATTTGCATATTCATGGTCCGATTTGCATATTTGCTTTTGTTGGTAATTGTTTTAAGAATGAAAATTACAAAATCATTCGATATTTTTCCCCCTCTATACTGGGTTATTCCATAATATTTTATTCTGGGTTATTCCATTGATATGTCCCGGAAAGGGATATATTTGAACGAAGTAGCTAAGTGGTTTTGGCTACTATAACCAAGTAGAATACGGTAGCAGTAATCGACTGGTACGCGTCGTAGTCGCAGGTAAGAAGTGTAGATCAATGGCGTGGTCCAAGGGGCGTTATTATAGACTTAGCTCTCAGACTAAGGCTTTGACAATATTTATTACTGTAAAAAAAATACAGCAAATGTGGCACAATGCCAAAAAAGGGGTTGGGGAAAAGGATGGTCATCATTTATCTTAATTTAAAACTTAGCTAGCCACAACTTTTTTTCCAAGCGTATCTCGGATGTGGCACACGGCCGAAAGTATGGGGCACCCAGTGAGGATCGAACTCACTAATCTGTCGTAATTGTTCTAGCGAGACAATTTTGCTATCAATTACACCACCTCGAGGTGCCCAGACTAAGGCTCTGACTATGTCGTACCTACACGTCCGTCGGTATTTATGACGGACACCAGCCAATCATATTCCAGTGAGGGGGGACACAGGTGTATGCATATTCCATTATATCATCCATAATATCTTATATTGTGTTATTCCATAATATTTTATACTGGATTATTTCATAATATTTTAATTTAAATAATGTTATCTGGTTTCTTTAAAGTGTACGAGGTGTGCTGTAAAATTTTGGGGACAGTTTGTATGATAATGGAGCTAAAGTACGCCGAATGAAGCAGTTTGTCACATATTGAACTCTGTCTCGCATGCAAAAGAAGTTATAAAGTTCTCGTTCACTTTCGTTGCTTATAGCACTTCTTGGAAGGAAAGTGTGTAGAGTGTGGTCTCCTCAACACGCCACAGAAAAATTTTGAAAGCGGTCATAATATATCGTGTGTCTATGATTTTGACCCTGAAACTGCACAGTGGAATACCTCAACTTTCCCCAGACTAAAATAGTACGAATGAGTTGAAGCAATGTGAAGACACCTTTGAGAGTTTTCTCCTACTACAAGGTCATCGTTCATCATGAGTATGCGCCACCTGGTCAGAGAGTAAACAAGTGGTACTACCGTGGCATGTTGCGGCGTCCGCGGGAAGGTGTTCGTCGGAAAAGGACAGAATTGCATGTGTTCCGTGAGGGGCAACTCCACCATGTCATCGCACCAGTTCATTCATCGCAGCTTGTGCAGCAGTTTTTATCCAAAGACAGCATTTCACAGGTCCGACAATCATCGTAGCGAATCAAATTCTTAATGCAGCTGGCTCAGTGCTTTTGTTCCAAACAGTGTCGGATATACACGTGGGCTAATGTGGGCTGCGTCTCAGCGGTTCCAAGAATATACAGGCCCCTAAGGGTTCTCTAGTGTTGGGCATCTAGTAAAACTAAAAAAAATAAAGACATGAGTGTTATCTTGTCCAAATAGCGCCCCTCTCGACTTTTTCCTCTTTCCAAAAATCAAATCCCACTTGAAAGGAACTAGATTTCAAGACATCGACGAAAGCCAAGAGAATGCGACAAGGCAGCTCATCGCAATCCCCCCACCACAAAAAAAAGAATTTCAGAAATGCTGGAAAAAGGGTATGGCTTTAGAAGGGAACTTCGAAGTAGACCTCATATTTTATAAGGTCAGAATGCCCGGGTATTAAATACAAATGATGCAATGTCTTTTGTTTGGGTTGATAAAATTCTGAAATAAAATATAAATTCTTTTTGTGTATGTATCTGAAAAGCAATGAAATATTGTAATATATTTATTTGTGTGAAAAAGTCAACACGTGTGTTTGTGTTTCATTGTAAACAGGATACAAGTGACAGAATTTGTTCCTTACTGTTGACGGTGTTGTCGTAGTCTGAAGCGGTCTCTTTGAAGTTTGCCAGTGCTGTCACTTTTAGCATGGGATCGTGAAGTTCGCAAGCCGGAGTGGCTTGGACCTTGATGACATCTCTACGTACCTGTTTGGAACGGGATTTCGTGTGTTTTATACACTTTCTCGTAAGAAAATTAGCCCCATCCTACACGATAATAAATTTGCATCTTTCTTTCCCCCACTCTCTATGACTTGTTTATATCTTTCTTTCTCCCACTCTCTATATATGACTTGTTTATATCTTTCTTTCTCCCACTCTCTATATATGACTTGTTTATATCTTTCTTTCTCTCACTATTTATATATGAATTGTTTATATCTTTCTTTCCCCCACTCTCTATATATGGCTTGTCTATATCTTTCTTTTCCCCACTCTCTATATATGGCTTATTTATATATTTCTTTTCCCCACTCTCTATATATGACTTGTTTATATCTTTCTTTCCCCACTCTCTATATATGACTTCTGGCAAACACACAAGATACAAAGTTCACAGAGTTTTATATAATAATTTTCTGAAATATCGAACCATAATGATTTAGCATAATTGCAATAATATTAGCACGAATAGTATCAAAAAGGCTCTTTAATTAATCTATGAAATCACAGGTAGGATTTCTTCAATATAAATTTTAAAATGAAACAATGACAATGATTATTTGACTGCTTCGTTTCCTACGGCTTATCAACCCTTATTTAACCTTTATTTAAAGCCAGAAAATATTTTTTAGATAATAAGTAACGGTAGTTTCTACACATTTATATTTCAGAGAATGTAAATAAATCTAAAAGACATGCCTACAATAAATTATAACGTGCTCATAAAGTGGGGGATCAATTTTATATTACAATCTATATGAACTGATCCCTCACATTTTGGCCACGGTAGTTTCTATATTTTTATATTCCAGAGAATGTAAATAAATATGAAAGACATGCTTACAATAAATTATAACGTGGTCATAAAGTGGGGGATCAATTTTATAAGTCAATCTACATGAACTGATCCTTCACTTTTTGGCCACGGTAGTTTCTATATATTTAGGTTCCAGAAAATGTAAATAAATCTGAGAGACATTCCTACATTAATTATAACGTACTCATAAAGTGGGGGATCAATTCTATATAAATCTATATGAACTGATCCCTCACTTTTTGGCCACGGTAGTTTCTATATATATTTAAGTTCCAGAGAATGTAAATAAATCTAAAAGACATGCCTAGAATGAATTATAACGTGGTCATAAAGTGGGGGATCAATTTTTTATTACAATCTATATGAACTGATCCCTCACTTTTTGGCCACAGTAGTTTCTAAAAAATTGTTTGGCTGAAATGTTATTTTCCTCTTTACGCAGTTACCTCCCCTGCATCGTTAACAGGTGTTTTTCCCCTTGTTTTATCTTTTGTCAGTGAAATAGTCTCCCTTTATTTGCTAACCAGTTGACTAATAATTCTAGTCTCCCACAATTTTTATACCTTTTGTTATTGCACTTAATTCCTCGAACATCCGAGAATGGAAATATTGGCTTGATATTCAACTAATAAGGGCACAAAAGCAGAGGCTTAAGGCTATATCAGGTTGAAACACCTGCTCCTCGTACGATCACCAAAGTTAAGCAACGTCGACCCTGGTCTGCAGTTAGATGGGTGACTGCTTGGAAATACCAGGTGCTGTAATCTTGGATATGGGAGTGGTGTAATAGATATCGGTTCGGAAATGTAAAAAAAAAAACTTCGTTTCGATTCAAGCTTGCTTCGTTATATTTTTTACTCGCGTGCAAGTGCCACTTGGAAAGGTATAAATCCACTTCTCCTCCCCCAGCTATGGATTAATTAGTAGGACTTGTACCAGTAAATCATAATGATCTAAAAATATATTTTTTTATTGTTCTCTCTTCTTTATTGTATTTTTCTAATATTCTCACACACACATTAATCCCGACTCCATCCCCAACATCCCATTGCGTCTTAGTGGTTTTATTGCCTTGTTTGGTTGAAATTTCTAAAAAAAAAAAAAAAAAAAAAACACTTTTAATCCTATTTTCTCTCAACGCGGTTACCTCCCTTGCATCTTTAACAGGAGTTTTTCCCCTTTGTCTATCTTTTCTTAGCGGAATAGCCTCCCTTCATCTGCAAATAATTTGACTGATAATCAGAGACTTCTGTCATTTTATACATCTCTATAAAGAAAAATGTATTTTCTAACATAATTTAATCTTTTGTCACTGCACTTAATTCCTCGAACATCCTAGAATGAAAATACTGGGTTAATATTCAACTAATAAGGTCACTAAAGCAGAGGCTTAAGATTATATCAGGTTGAAACACTTGTTTCTCGTACGATCACCGAAAAGTTAAACAACGTCGACCCTGGTCACTTGTTAGATGAGCGACAGCTTGGGAATACCAGTTGCTGTAATGGTGGGTGTGGGGGTGGTGTAATAGATATCGGCTTGGAAATGTAGATTAGAGTGCCGAGTTCCAATGCAAGCTTGGTTCATTATATTTTTACTCACGAGCGTTTGGAAAGGTATGAATCCACCTCTCCTCCCCCCAGCTATGGATTAATTAGTCGGACTTGTATCAGTAAATCATAATTATCTAAAAAAAAACTTCTCACAATTTAAAAATATTTTCTGACTTTTAAAAGGTTGATAAACCTTAAAAAACATTGTTTCTGTGGATTAGTATTCATTTGTCAGATTCATTTGTCAGATTGGAAAAAATTTCTGAGATGAGGTATTATGTACATCATTTACATTATTCCTCAAGGACACATGGCACAGTGGATAAAGGCGTTGGTTAGATCCAGTGACAGGACCCAAAGAGTGTGAGTTCAATACCTGGTTAAGGCGGTGGAGATCTTGGAGAGGAGAATTAACAGGAGGCAACTGATAACTGACATCCATTAGACAGGGCACATGAAACTAGAACAGTCTACTCAAGCGAGCGAAATAAAGGGTTCAATTCGACATTCCAACCACTTGAAGAAGGACGGAGCGTACAACGGCCGAAACGTTGTGATAAATATGGCAACAGGGATGAGGACAATTGTCCGAATAATGTAAATTGTTTTTTTGTTTGTCATTTTAGAATAGGAGCTTGTTCTCTTTTCTTTATATCACATTGAAACACCGGTTTCTCGTACGATCACCGAAGTTAAGCAACGTCGAGCCTGGTTAGTAATTCGATGGGTGACTGCTTGGGAATACTAGGAGTGTAATCTTAGATGTGCGAGTGGTGTAATAGATATCGACTCGAAATCGTAAATCGGAGAGTCGAGTTCCAATTCAAGTTGGGTTTTATTATATTATTCACTTACGAGCATTGGGAAAAGGTATGAATGTTTGGAGTTTTAAAAATGTATAATTCTTGGGTTGTTTCTGTTGATTTTGTTCAAACTCCAGAATTCTTCTTGTTGCTGAAATAAAAGATACAAAGGAAAGGAGGAGGCAGAGACACTGGAAATGAATTTAGGAAATTTATTACAAGGTAGCAACGGTCTGTTGAAGGGAAATGCCATCCAGAGCAAATGACACATGCTTATCGGTTGAAAGTTCAGAGGAAAAGAGAACGATTCTTCTTGTATGTCTTTGGCGCCAGGAAAGGCCTCTTTTTCCGCGCATGCGACATTTGTTCTTCCTGTCAAGGAGCATCCTGGGAGATTCTTCTTTTTTTACTGACTTTAGTGTGGACTTTTTCTCTATTTTGTCAAAGTCACATTCTTTATATCATCTCAAGGTCTTGGAGTCCCTATATATCAGATCCCTCAAGACTTCTCACTGTAAACAGAGGAATTGTTTGCTGGGTCTGAATATTATTGGTCTCTAGTTTTCCTTGATTTTGTTTCCTCCACCCCGACTCCATCCCTTCCCCTAATTTTTCAGGAGCAGATAGATAGATAGATAGATACAAACAGGAACATAGATAGATAGATAGATAGATAGATAGATAGATAGATAGATAGATAGATAGATAGATAGATAGATGCAAACCTAGATAAAATTTTATTTAGGTTGAACTCTCTGGGGAGGAAGATGATGGGTTTGTAAACAGTGACTATTACGGATAATAATGCAAGACTCTTAGGTAAATCGAATCGAGTTCTCTCAGTCATTGTGTGTTTATCTAAAAATAAATATGCTTAAATTCCCCTTCATTCCTACCGTGCGCCAACGGCTTAGTGGTAGAATCCCGACTGACGCCAATTTAGTCGGGTTTCGATCCTAGCTAGAAGCAACCGGACGTCTAGCCACTCTGATGAGCTGTGATACAGCGAAACCGTCTCTCAGTGGGTGACAATATATATATATATATATATATACATGTGTGTGTGCGCAAGTGTTTTTATAGGAAGACTTTTGTTTTATTTCAACTTTCATATATTTATATTACCGTAGGTCTTCATTCCCTTTCTAAATGAAGTCGATGTTTCATATCCACACACAACATGATGATATGTAAAAAAACAATAATAATTGAGTCTAAAGTTGAAAGGGTTTGAGATCATCTTGTCTCGTGTCTGTTCCACAACATAAGGATTCTAACGAAGATTCCGTCCAAAAGGAAATTCTTACCGATAGAATATGAATGAAATTAGACCGGTACCAGGTATAAATTCCTTCACTGTGACAATGCACTTTGTTACAACGACACAAACGATAGATAAATAGTTTTATTTCTTTATTTCCTCAAATATCTTAATAATATTACCGTCATAGCTTTTTTTTTCGAAATTTTCGAATTTTTATTAAATCAATTAAACAATTCTAAAAGATTATTTCTTAGAATTAAAATGTTTTTTATGAAGTTCCCCCGCAAAACAAATATGCAGTAACGATTGGAAGAAGATTGATGAGTATTATATATATTTTTTTATATAAAAAATTAACAAACGGCTGAATGATGGCGGGGATTAGTACAGATCCGAGTGGAATTGAAAAAATTAAAATTTATGAATTTAATTCCAATGTCAATCGTTATCTTCTGATTTCCTTAATTCATATTTTTGCCTTGTTGGGGTAAAATGGAAAAAAAAAAAAGAAAAAAAAAAAATTTTCTCTTTACGCGGTTACCTCCCCTTGCATCTTTAACCGGAGTTTTTCCCCTTTGTTGTTGAGCTTTTTTGTCCACTGGAATAGCCTCCCTTTATCTGAAAAAAAAGTTGACTAATGATCCGAGACTCTCCCGTTTCTTTATACATGCCTATAAAGAAATATTTATTTTCCAACATAATTTAATCCTTTGTCATTGCACTTAATTCCTCGAACATCCGAGAATTAAAATACTGGGTTAATATTCAACTAATAGTATCGCTAAAGTATTACTATTATCCAAAAAATTCTCATAATTTCAAAATATTTTCTGACTTTTAAAAAGTTGATAAACCGTAAAAAAAAACAAAAAAAAACTATATACTCCAGAATATACTGATTTTTATTTTTTTTTTTATCCTTTTAGAATGGAGACTTGTTCTCCTCTCTTTATATCACGTTGAAACACCAGTTTCTTGCACGATCACCGAAGTTAAGCAACGTCAAATCTGGTCAGTAATTAAATGGGTAACTGCTTGAGAATATCAGACAAATCCATTTCTTTTCCACCAGTTATGTTGATTTCCTAAACTTAGCTTAAATGTGACACAAGGCCGAAAGTATGGAGCACATAGTGAGGATCGAACTCATCACTCAGTCTTAATTGTTCTAGCAGAATAAGCTTTCTAACCATTACACCACGTCGAGATGTCACTTTCCCTCCAGCTATGGGTTAAATCTTGAGCTAACGTTCTCAGCTGCCATGAAGTGGAAAGACAATACTGAATCCATTGCTAGGTCAGCTGCTAAGAAAGTTGGTTCACTGTGTCGTGCGAGACAATTTTTATCGCCAAAATCTATCATTATCAAGGTTTCTCTTCCTTCCACGCTCTGTGACCTCTGTCAGAGTTAGCTCCTCCTCAGCTCTTTAACCCTTCACCAGGGGTCACTCTCCCCTGGCTATAAATACTGGCTGACCTTTCGTCTTGATCTCTTTTTAACTCAGGCCTTCAGCCTTACACCACCTCGCAGATGTGAGCTCTCACATACAGCGTTTCCTAAATTCTGGGAACACACTAAGAACAATACACGTACGTACGAACACTCACCACAGCACACACACATAATATTCATCACACGCACTCTGTCCATGTACATGTAACCTGTAACTTGTAACCTGTAACTTGTTTAACCTATATTTGTTTACATATATTTATCGGTCTTGTTTGTTTTCTTTGGACTTAATTAAAGTCCATCATTCTCATGTGATTGGACCGGCTAGCAGGAAGTTCTACCCACATGTGTTCCTTATATCATCACCACCACAGTCCGCTACACCCTTTGTGTTTTAGTGACTTTACTGACAATTAGTCCAACATCGAAAGCAAAAATACTCAGAATTCGGTGTATTTTTGAGTTTTTTTCCCCCCAGGGATTAGTCCACAGCGGTTACTTACCTCTTGTCTGACCGGCAAATAACAATATGGCAGATTTACTTCTCTTCTGTCTTCTTTACTCTCGTATCTTGCCTGACACGCAAAAAGAACATCACTGAAGAAGTTAATATTTCATGATTTATTTAAAATCTTCGTGAAACAGGACAATAAAATAAAATCTTCTGCGCCTTTGATTCATGATTTATTAA